GGCCGGCCGCCCGCTCCGCTGGCAGGTAGGTAGCAGCGGCCGCAGGAGGTCGGGGGAGGGGGGCGGCTCCTTATTTTTAACTCGGGCAGCGAACTTCAGTGGCCGCGTCTTCTAAAGTGAGAGGCTCCGGGGAGGAGGCGCGAGCCCCGCGCCCAGCATCCGCCTGCTCTGCAGGCGCCGGCCCGGGCGGCCGGGTGACGGCGACCGAGGGCTCCAGCATCCAGTGCGTGTGAACCGCGGGCCAGGGCTGCCCGCGCAGCTTCCTGCGATGATGTCAACGGTCTCTCTCTGCCGGGGCCAATGTGGCAGCCACGTGTGGCCGCTGAGCGCCTGCCATCTGGCCGGCGCTACTGAGGAGCTGAGTTTTAATTCTGTGTAAAATAATTAAATTTAAACCCGCTGCCCTGCCCGCCGGCTTTGCCTCTCCTGCTCTTCCACCCTGGAGACTTCACGTTCTTAAATTTCTTCCCCAGGAGGCAAATAAAAAGGAAGGCTATGCTTCAATCAAGGCTGATATTTCTATTTAAACTTGTTCTTGGCCGCTTCCCCCAAGCTTCTCTCACTGAGTTCCATTCAATAACATTTATCGCCCTCCTGCTGTGTGCCGATGGGGGAGGGTGTGGAAACCCCCGAGGTCCAGCTGCTACGGGGACAGGGACGGACAGCTTGGGTCCGAGGGAATGTGGAAGGACTGATGCCTCCAGCGGTGAGAAAGTGGGGGGCTGTGACTCAGGGGCAGCCTGAGCACTGGGAGTGGGGGCGGGAGGGAGCAGGATGGGGTAAACACCGTCCTTGAGTTTATCCGATGGGGAAAGGAGGCCCAAGGTCCTTTTTTATTTTTTGATCCCTGGACTTTTTATTGACCTCCTGCCCCGCACGGGGTGCCCCGTTTCTGCTGCCTTAGCGCCTCAGAACCCCGGTGTCGCTGATCTCAGGCACCACTTCGCCGTCCACGGCCTGCGGTGGCGGTCTTTTGGACAGACTGTGTGGAGTAGCCGTCGTCCAGGACGTCTCCAGGATCGAAGTCCTCCCTCTTCCAGCAGGCAGCGGGAGGCAGCGATCCCAGCCTCCGGTGTGACCTTCAGCCGAGTCTCATACATACGCCTGGGCCTGGCACTGCCCTCTGCCCGGCTCTGAGTCAGCTCCGACTCCAGGTGCAGCAGAATCCAGCTGAGCTGTTCCGCCTGCGTGGCACGGCACATCACCCACCGCCCCAGGCTGATCTCCCAGCCGGCCTGCAGATTCCTCCCGGCGTCCAGGTCGATCTCCAAGGCCGGGCGTAGGTCCCAGCTCCG